CCTGTCCTGGAATTCACAGCATGGAGCTCGGAGGAGTGAAACTGTGGGTCTATGCAGAATTCTGTGGCTCTTTTAAAATGCATTGCAATTGGGAGGCTGAACCATGCCAGACTTCTCACTGCACTGGATTGCAAAGTGAACATGAAAATGAGTATGGTTGACATGTTCCATTTCCTTTTAAGGAGTGCCCTGTGGTCAGTTTTGGGGAGCACACCACTGCAGTGTTGTGTGGGCATCCCAGCACTAATGAAGAACAGCCCATCATTTTTGCAGTCACAGTTTGGTGGGGCACACACAGATTGAGAACTCCCAGTGCTCAGTACCTCCTAGGATTTGGCCTGCTGATTACTTGTGGGGAGACCTCATAGAAACTGGGAGATGACACACAGTTATGCCATTGTGAAGGTCACAGTAGCTAATGTGAAGGTCACAACAGTTTGCTGTTACTTCAGTAAGTAATCTTTGGGGCACTATGCTCCAGGCACGCAAATCCTCTGAAATTCTTAACTGCCTCCTACTTTCAAGCTATTCTTATCAATAACTAAAATAAGGAGGTTCCCAAAGTGAATCTCTAGCCATATTGCCAATTTAAGGGTTTGTGTTTGTATGTGATGGGTCAGAAGGATCTAGCAAAAAGCTGTTTTTCAGCATAAAGTGCTACTTGAAAATGACATCAGCATTTTTTCTGTGAATTCCAAAGAGGAGAGCTATTTTTTCCCCCACATCTTGTATGGTATTCAGCCCATGTATTTGAATGAAGCTGGATTAGTCTTGGCAGGTGGTATAAGATGGTCAACATTTTTCTCAACACCACCATCTTGACTAACCTGTTATTGGGAGGTGAAGGTCAGATAATTTGGAGATAGGGCCTGGAAAAAAGCAGGCCTTGGAACGGTAAGGTCTTCCTGATGAGCATTTCATACCGTTCCGCTTTGTGTGGCTTCTTATATAGGGAAAACATCGGCTTTTTTGGTTACATAATTTCTGCAGTTAGGTCATTTCTCACTGGGGGGTCCAGTCCTGCTTTGACTGCACTCAGTAGTAAAACTCCAATAGACTTTGTAGAACTTGGATGTGCCTCAAGGTGACCTGGCAGATCTGTTCCATTTTGCCATTGTTTAAAGTACTGGTTGATTACTTTCCTTGAAATATGCTTTATCCATAACAGAAGGGAGTTGCTCTCTCTGCTATTTCCTGTTCCCTTTTCAAGCACAGAGACCATCTCACAAAGGCAGATATCGTACAAACTAGTCACCATTAACATGAATTTCATTATGTACTGGAGAATTAGCAGCTGCTTGCAAAACTGTTCTTAAGCATAGAATAAATTAAGGGCTTGTGTGCACATTCTTTGGCTAGGATGTTTTTATTATTAGTATGTTACCAATCCTGCACCTCCAGGTATTTGTCTTAGTATCTGGGTACTATATGATTGCTTTATCAGCTTACACCAGGAAAGGAGCAGGAGTCTCTGATAGGGCAATGCCTTGTATCTGTTTATAGCCATGAGTGAAACACACCCATGAAAATCTAAGCATATCATTTTCTTTCAGATGCACTAGTGGAGGAAAATTTGAATTCAAAATATGAAAACACAAATATCCAGTTCTATACTGGTTCCATTCAGGTGAAACTCACACTGACTACACAGAGAGGAGCCATAGCCCTTGCCAGTGACTTCATACTATATACCAGATTATCAGATTATATAAACAGATGTAGCACCATTAGTTGCAATGGAATGAAGCTGATTTACCCCAAGTCAAGATCCAGCCCTATCTTTCTTAATGCTATTTGGGAGGAGCACAAGAGGGACATAGGGGAAATGTCATTCTGAGAACAACGCTTTCAGAATTAACTATAATATTTTAAAATTGTAATTAACAGCACTTACACAAAGTAATATACTCAAAGCACTGAACAAATAAATCAAAAAGTGCATTTAACTCTCTGAAATTGTTTGGCATTAGTGAAGTGTCCTCTCTGACTTTTGGGAAAACCACCTTTACAAATCAAAGGGCACAACCTTCCATCTGAAATCACCTTGGAGAAGCACCAGTAATGCTATTCAGAGACATTCTGAATCCACATGTTACATGTAAGGTGCACCTCAACTCAGCTGTTTAAGAGAGATGCTCAGCTTGTATTCAGTATTTGTCCCAAGTTGAGGAAGTGACCCTGTGGAAATTAGACTTTTAAATGTCAGTGTCCCTACATTGCATTCAGTTCTCTTCGCAAGGGAACTCTTGCTCTGCATGCATTATGTACACTCCTGGAAATGCACAGTCCAACATTTTAGCCAGTTCAACATCAGGCAAAAGGAAGATGGAAACCTGACAAGTCAAGAGCAATGTCAGGAGCTGCTTCCAGGTGTATCCTTCTAGACCAATGAATGCCAAGTGTTTACTTCTTTTTTGACTCCTGAGCTTTTCCGTTCTTCCTCCATGGCAGGCAACCATCCTGTGCTAGTGAGAATCCCTTTAGAGTAATGTTAATCACTTGTTTCAGTGAAGAAGATGCTGAGCAATTCTGTGTGCTTTTGTTCCTTCCATTGGTATACAAGATACAGGTGGTTTGCTGTGGAGGAAGACTACTCAGCAATTGAATTCATTTAATTTGCTAGGAATTCTAGAAATCTTCTGAATTTAGAAGGAACTAAAATGCACAGAGATCTCAAGAGAGCAGAGCAGACAGTTGGTTTGGGAGGACTGGTACAGGAGTCATCACATCTCAAGATTATATATTGATTTAATCTATTCCAAACTCCTTACTGGGCTTTGGATCAGAAACTGGACAATTATAGCCATAATGTCCCGATACTGGCATTTTTATCTATCATGAGTCGATCAGCATGGTGGCTACACGTAGCAACAAAGGAAATAGGATAATTACAGAAAGAAACTAAAAAAAAAGAGAGCTTTCTGCTCTGCAGCAGCGGGGTCAGATACAAAAACAATAGAGAAAAGGTATCCAGCATTTTCTCAGTTGCCCTTGATCACAGTGGAAACTGTTGGCCTCAGTTCAGTAACTAGTGGAGAAGTGTCCACATCACCAAATTGTCATTGCAGCTGTCAACCTTGCTAGCAAAATCTGCAGACAGGGACTGTTCAGCACAAAAACTCATTGGAAATACAACTATAAAGGAACCCTTAAAAAATCTTGGTTTGAAAAACATCAAAGCAAGGCAGCTCACATCCCTTTAATCCACTCACTTAGATGCTAGAACTATGAAGAGGGCTTTGTGCATTGTGACTGCTGTTCACAAGGAGACAGGGCTCTGCACATCAAGAGTGAGATTGATTTGATGGTTATATTTACCTGACTGTGTGGCAACCATCACACACAATAATAACCCTTTCCCCTTATCTAGCTCTTTCCACCCACAGCCCTTTATAATCACTAATGAACTGAGGCTTGCTACAACTTTTGAGGAAGAAAAACTCAACCTTAATCAAAAAGCATCTTTCAGCCTGTGTTCTTTTGATTTTAGTAAGCACTGGCTCTCATACAGCATGAAAAACTCAGTTCAATGGAGAAGAACAGGGAATCAGTCCTGTTGCTGAGAGGCATTGATTGCTCTGACTGAGGACGTGCTGTAGGATTCTATCCATCCACATGTTTTCAAAGGGGACAGGCAAGTGCCCAGCTCAGACTAGGCCACATATCTTCATGACAATGGTGTATGGGGGCATGTGTGGTTTTTGCTAACCTACCAACAGGGATCTTCAGAGCAGCCCAGTATGGTATAATATCCTCCTGTTGGCCATAGAAGAAACAAGCAGCTGGTTGTGACTTGCAGGGAACCATTGCGTATGGAATACAAACTGCTTACATATTTGCTGCTTTTGTTTCCCTCTATAGTAACACACAGACATTCAAAACAAAAGGCCCCAGACTTCTTTCTCTTTGTTAAACTGCAGCAAATATGGAAAATGCATTTCAGACTCCACCATTCAAGAACTGTTTCCTGTTTGGAGATAAAAATATGCTGGGTAAGCAGTGGCTCAGGGCAACCAGAATGGTGCAATAAAATAAGGCATTGACTCATCTCCAGAAAGCAGCATATTTTCCCCACTAACTATCTTTTCCTCCTGTGCTGGTAACGAGAGATGCCTGCTGATGTATATGGAGTCATGAATAAAACAACAATAAAGTGAATGGGGAAGAAAGTGGGGCAGATTTTGGGCTTTTGCAAATATGTTAGGTGGAACTACCTGCAAGTCAATGGAGTGCACTCATTTACAGCTGCAGTGAATGTGACCTGGTATATTGAAACAACTTTTTTTGATCTATTGCCATAGAAATGGAGACATTGTGTGGTATCAGCTACCCCTCGGGTGCCTGCCATGCCCAATGAGCATGTATTCCATTGTATACTACCTACTGACAGCGCTGCAAAGAACTGGCTAGTCAGTGCATTACTAGGGCACTGTTTCTACCTAGTTCAACATCTAGCCAGGTAAGGGCTCTGTAATCATTAGTGCTAGCTGAAGACAGCAGGCTGGGAGCTAGCTGAGGAGGGAAAAGTAGACAGTGGTTACCTTGGGAGTTTGGGCTTGTGGGGCCTGGAAACTGGGCTGAAAAATATGTTTCTGGAAGAGGACAAGGCATTGGCCACAGCAGGAAGACTGTGAGCTAGGTTTAAAAATCACAAATTTTAAACAACCCCCCCCCCCCAATTTTTTCAGTTGTGTCCCAGTATGAGAAATAGAAACTCATGTAAAATATGAAAGCTGAGATTCACATGTAATACCATAATCAAATCAGTGCTCACATGCCCACTGCACTTCACTTGAACATTTGACCTGAGATATTTCAGTCTTCACCAGACAATCAAATGTTTTAATGTTTCAGGCTTAAGTTAACTAACTCCACTTCTAAAAGCAAAAGTCTCGAAGTTTAAGCAGTAACAACTCGCGATGCCAGCATTTTTTTCTTGTTTTGAATACTCATCCTGATTACACAAGGTCACTAGTTCCTTTTTTGTCTTTCTCCTACAGCAACACAAGGAGCACATAGGAGTTTGAGAGATGTTTTTGTTGGGACTTCTGCCTGTCTTGCTTTTCTTCAGCCAAGATCTTCAAGTAGCTCCATACTCGTTTGAGAACTGCTTAGTCCATGGAAACTTGGGGAGAAGGATGAAAATGCTATGCTATCAGAGAAACTTGTCTCAAGTCCCAGCTCATCTTCCTAGCAACATAAAAAGCTTGGACCTGTGTGAGAATAGGATTGCACGCCTAAGGCAGAATGATTTCAAGAACATGAGCCTGTTGCAAATGTTAAATGTTTCTCAGAACCAAATAAATGTCATTGAAGAAGGCACGTTCATTCACACAGGCAGCCTGGAATTCCTGAACTTCACTTCAAACCAGCTGAGGAGTCTTTCCAGCTCTACATTTGATGGATTAGTGAATCTTACTGTCTTGCTACTCAGGAAAAACAACATTGACAGGATTGAGCTGTCGACTTTTGACCACCTGATAAAGTTAAAGGTAATTGATTTAACTTCAAATAAGTTACATTTTGTGAAAGCTTTGGATGCTATGTTTAAGGTGAAGTCTTTGGAGATCCTGCAAATTAGCGAGAACAACATAACAAATTTTACAACCAAAGATATTGTTTATGTGCCCATGAGGCTTCACAAACTGGATGCATCGCATAATCCGATCTCTTTCATTGATGTTACAACTGATGCTTTGCACAGTCTTGTTTCATTGGACTTATCCTTCTCTGGCAAACATAACCATGTTACATGGCTTATACAAGATCCATGTCTCCTGAAAGGGCTAAAGAATTTATATTTAGGAGGAATATTTATGACACCAGGAGACATATCAACTGTTTTCCAAAAGCTGAGCTGCTCTTTGCTAGAGGATATCCACCTAAATGATTTGAACTTGACTGATTCTGACAATCTTATAGAGGAGGTCTGCCTTTGGCAGCAACATGTCAAAGCTCTGAATTTACAAGGCAATAAATTAAAAAACATTAGAGCAACTGTCTTTGAAAACTGCACTCAGCTGAAGTACTTGGATATGACACACAACAAGTTACAAGTGATACTGTCTACATCTTTTCAGTTCCTGAATGCTTTAGAATTTTTGTTCCTGGCAAACAATAAGTTCAGTGAAGTACCTATTGTGACTTCAAATATAACATCACTAAAAAGTTTGGATCTCAGCTTTAACCAGATTCAGAAAATTACCCCAAGTGACTTTGCTGGTCTGAAGAATCTGCAGTTTCTCAATCTAACTGGAAACCAGATCACTAAAATCAATTCAGAATTATTTCAGGATTTGGATAATTTGTTGGAGTTAAATTTGGGAATGAACATCCTTTTGGAAATCTCACAGCCTCTCTCAGATAGTTTATGGAAGCTGGAAAAAATAAACCTCAGAAGAAATAAGATGAACTCCATCAAGAAAGGCACTTTTAGGAATCTGACTTCCCTGCAGTTTCTCAATCTGGTGGACAACCAGATTAGCACAATAGAACCAGGAGCCTTTGAAGGGCTGAGCAGCCTGCAAACATTGCTTCTTGGCAGCAACAGGATCACCGGGAACACTTTGCAGAAGGGCATTTTCGAAGGGGCAAGCTCAATAGTAGAGCTTCAGCTTTTTAACAATTACATCTCTTATGAGTCAGCTGGAAAACTTGACAACCCTCCCTTCATTCTCCTGAAGTCTTTAAAGAAACTTACTCTGAACAGCCAACGTCATCTAGGGCTTCAGAATTTCCCATCTAACTTCTTGCAAGGTCTGGAATCAATAGTGTCAATCCATGCTGGCAACTTGGACATCAGCTCCTTGCACCCAGACACTTTTAGTTACACCCCTGGGCTCCAAGAACTGGATTTGAGCAACAATCCGATCAGTCCTATTAACCTGGACCTTTTCCAGCCTGTAGCAAACCTGACAGAATTACACCTCAATAAAATAGGTCTCCAGTCACTCAATTTTGTTCTTCATGCCAACTTCTCTAAACTGGCAGTGCTCAGAGTAGCTACAAATGAGCTTGATGTTATTAAACCAAACCACATTGCAGCTTTGCCATTTCTTACTTTCCTGGATCTCAGATACAATCCTTTTACCTGCTCTTGCAATAACAAAGCATTCCTCAATTGGTCCCTTAATAGCTTAAAAACCCAGGTGATCTATTTGTATGAGTACACTTGTGCTTTCCCACCCAGCAGTAAAGGAGACAAGCTGTGGACCTTTGATTTCTCCTCCTGCACTGCTAATCTCGACTTCATCTTGTTTATAACTAATTCAACCCTAGTTATTTTGCTGATGATTGTCTGCCTCTTTTATCACTGGAGGTGGCAGGGGATTTATGCCTACCATCTATTACTTGCTTATATTTATGACAACAGGCACAAAAGAAAAAGGCAGCATAAGAAATACGACTATGATGCATTTGTCTCCTACAACACAGAGGATGAGAAATGGGTGATCAATGACCTCCTTCCCAAGCTGGAAGATGAGTACCACTGGAAGCTGTGTCTGCACCACCGGGACTTTGAACCAGGAAGAGCTATCCTGGACAACATTGTGGATAGTATCTATGGGAGCAGGAAAACTATCTGTGTCATAACCCGCCACTACCTTGAAAGTGAATGGTGCTCTAAGGAGATTCAGGTAGCCAGCTTTCGCCTCTTTGATGAACATGAGGATGTCCTGGTCCTGATTTTCCTGGAAGACATTCCTGCTGGTTATCTATCACCCTACCATAGGATGAGAAAGCTGATAAAGAAAAAAACATACCTTGCATGGCCCCAGGAGAAGGAAAAGATTCCACTCTTTTGGCTTAAACTCCATATGGCCTTGAAGACAAGTGAAGGGAAAGTGGATGAAGATCCTATTTTGTCTGTGATTGTTCCAGATGAAGACCAATAAAGACAGTTCCCAGTAGTAAATGTCTGTCTATGGCATGCCTAATGGGCTTATTCTGTAGTTTCTAGCTACATCAACCTTACAAAAAGTGTTGTGAACTTTGAACGATCTTTACTCTAAATATTAAACTCTAATTTTTAGGGTATTTTCTACATTTTTTTAAGATGTAGGATAAAAGATTGATTACCAGTGGTATTCAGAGCAGGAAGAAAAGTGTCATATTAATCCTCTTCCATAGATATATTTAGTAACAGTATAATTATTATTTCAGTAAGAATTGCAATTGTTTCCTGAAATATTTATCCCCAGTGCTGATGTGCTTATCTCTGTTTCAAAGTGCTTGTACCAGTACTGGGTATTTCTCTTCTCAAAGGGGAATAGCTATTTGAGTAGGAGATTGTGACACTGAAGGCCTGAACAGATGACACATTTACAACAGTGCAATCAGTCTACACCAGTGAAAAAGAGGAACGAATAAATGATGTAAACTCTCATACGAGGGTAACTTTTCCCAATCCAGTGCAATGTGAGCTGTGTTTGGTTTCATCTGTCTACATCTATCCAAATGTAGCTGATTGCCAAAGGCAAACAGGTTGTTATCTGGTCCCTGCCACCTACTGATGAGTGTCATAATAGCCTCCTATTGCATGAAGCTACCCCAGGAGAGCTCTCCATCTGTGCACATTCTTGACATTACATAGCTACTCAGACATGATGGTGAATATAAGAATCAGGGAAGAATAGAATAGAAACTTGTGACTAGTCATATTGAAATCTTAAGTGCTTAATGGCTTTGCTAGATAAGGGCTTTCCTTCTTAACTCTTCAATAAGTAAAAAGATTGTGAGTGAATCTATGATTTTATGGAGACCACTAACCAGATTGTTTGATTTAACAGAATCAATGAGACATGTTTTAGATGAGACTGCTATCTAGCATTTTGCATAGCATGTTCAGTAGCTACTTTCCTAATTTTATTTGAATAAGTTAGAAAGGATTTTTAATTAAAAGAATGGATGACGTAGGATTTGGGTGAAGTTGAATGGATGACATCCACCACAGAAGGGATTTTATGCCAGGTGAATTTGTCTCTGTGGGCCAGCTACTCATATGAAATAGTACTATAGCCATGCAAGGCTTGGTTCTCAATAAACAAGTGTGATCTAAGCAATTTTTTGAGCCTAGTGCAGTCATCAGTTGTGCATATGATATGGCAGGTGGGGCGGAGAATGAGGCACACCACTCAGGTGGGAAGGACAGCCAGCTAAGTGGCCAACTGCAGCAAGATTGCAGTGTTGGACATGTGGCAGAGAGAGGGGTTTGTTATGATCAGGAGAATGAGAGAGAGTATGAGGAGAAGGGGCATTTTTGCTGACTATTTTGGGCACCATGGAGTGAGGCTGTAACACAGAAGGCGCAGCAGTCAACAAAATGATTCACATCAACCCACAGAGGTGGCACTGGAATTAAAACAACTGCCAATTTTATATCTTGACAATTTTTAGCATGAAGGAGGGCATGCTTCCTATTGCCCTCCTCTCCACTGGTACTCGCAGGGGCAGCAGGCTGGTTGACAATGAAGGTTAGGATCTAGGTCTGGGGTCAGTTGGTGTCAGCTCTCTGTCAGACTCCTGCAAGGTAAACAGTTCCTGGCTGTCAGGTGAATCTTCTCAGAAGGCATCCTCAGTCCTACTGGCCCTTGGGGTCCTGTGCTTCATAAGCCATATCTGATATGAAATAATGTTTTTTGCTGGTTTCTCATGTCAAAATGCTGTCCAAATCTCTTTAGTTAGGATAGGTAGATGGAGCACTCCTGGGGGTGTTGTTTCAGTCCTTGACCCATCTTTATCTTGCTACATCCCACTGCTAGCCCTGTGCAGCCAGGGCTGTAGGGATGGCTTTATAAACCTCCTGATTTTTCTGCCTCTTCTGGACAGCTCCTTGCACCTTTGCCTCTCCCTGTCATCAGAGAAGGTTCAGGATTCTGCATGGGTCCAATGGTAAGTGTGACAAGAAAGAATGGCACAAGAATTAATATTTGAAACCTGCAGGAGTGCGACTAAGATGGTGATTCCTTGTGCATGTGCAAAGAGGCAGAGTCTGGTTGTATGCCAGGATTTAAACAAAGAGGTGCCATCTGCTTTCCATGACCCTGGAGGAGAGGTGGCCACACAGGTAAATAGACCTGCTAGTAGCCAGGGAGCAAAGTATTGTGGGAAGATGGCTGGCAGACTTTTGTAATCATTCCTAGCAGAGGCAAGCACATAAACATTGCTCCATTTTTCTGACACCAATGCAAAATTACTTCTGTTCCTTGCTTAAAGGACATGCTCCCTGCATAGGGAGTGGGGAGAACACTAAGACATACTGGAGAAGAATGGGTGTTCTGAAATGAATAGCCTAGTGAATCTGCAAAATTATTCATCCAGATATAATTTTATGCACAAATGCTGTACCAGGGCCAGTAATACAGGAACTACATGGCATTTAATACTTAGATGTTAGCAATGCTGTTACTGTTGTACTAGCCTTTCTTCACTCCATTATTGCACTCCATTATTGCACGTGATCACGTGTAAGTTATTGAGGATTCCTACATGTGTTCACCTGGTCTCTGCAACCCAATAATTAACTCACCAATTAAATGGGGAAGCAGTGTCATGAGATGACTAGAATATGGTACTGAAGTCAGAAGATAAGAGCTTTGTTCCTAACTGCCACAGGCTTCCTGTGAGTTAGATTAAGGTGTCATCTCTGAACTAGGAGTTCTAGATTTTTGCATGTCTTTTTGTCTCAGACCAACTCGGCTACCAAATACATCCCTGAAACATGGCAGATGCCACATTTTAGCTGATTTTGGATTTTAAACTTCATTGCTGAACAACAAGAAATATTTCTACACCTCCCAGCTTGCCATCTGACACCTCCAGGGAAAGAATCCTACCTGATCTGCACAACAAAGAACAACTCAGAACAGCTCACAAAGACACTCTCATGGACCCAGATGGACAGGTTTCCATCTCCAGCTTCCTCTGTGCAAAAATGAAGTTTATTTCCTACCTGTGGGGACTTTTTACCATCTTTAATTTTCCCTGAGCCTGGTGACGGGCATTTGAGACCAAAAACTTGCAGAAAAAAGATTTTTTTTTTTGCGATTTCCTAGTTGGTCTAATAAAAGGTATCATCTCTGAACTAAGAGATCTAGATTTTTGCATTTTCCCCTTCGGACTTTTTAAAAACTTCTGCCTCCAATGCTTGGGCCATTAGTTTCCTTTCTGTACAATTAGATCTTGATGCTTCTCTTCTTCACTATGCTGTTGTGAAACTAAATTCAAGGGAAGTTAAGTACTTAGATTTCATAGATTTCTAGAGTTGGAAGGGACCTGGTAGATCATCGGGTCCGACCCCCTGCTTCAGGCAGGATAGAGCGCTGGGGTTAAGTAACCCCAGCCAGGTGCCTGCCTAATCTCCTCTTGGAATACCTCCAGGGTAGGGGAAAGCACCACCTCCCTTGGAAGCCCATTCTATATTTTGGCAATCCTTACCGTAAATAATTTCTTCCTTATGTCCAATCTAAATCTGTTCTCCTTCAGTTTGTGGCCATTATTTCTGGTAACCCTGAGGGGCGTCCTGATAAACAGTGTCCGCTATTCCCTGCTGACCCCCGCAATGAGGCAGCCACAAGATCGCCTCTCAGCCTTTTCTTGCAGAGGCTGAAGAGATTTAGATCCCTCAGTCTGTCTTCATAGGGTCTTACCTGCAGGCCCTCAACCATACGAGTAGCTCTCCTCTGAACCCTCTCAAGGTTATCCACATCACTCTTGAAGTGCGGCGCCCAAAACTGGATGCAGTACTCCCATCTGCAGCCTCACCAATGCCGCACAAAGGGGAATTATCACATTCCTAGACCTGCTTGTGATGCACCTGCTGATGCAAGAAAGAGTGCGGTTAGCCTTGCTTATTACCTCGTTATACTGCTTAGAGACGCTCAGTTGACAGGGGCAACAGAACAAAAGAGAAAGTCTGGACTCACGTCTATCAGTGTAAATCTGTGGTAAGTTAGTGGAGCTGGAGCTGTTCCAGGATTGTGGTTACATAACGAAGATCAGACTTTGTCCCCAAATGCTTTTACATTAGCTGGTGAGCAAAGTGCTACACCCAACCTCTGAAATGGGATCTGTATTCAAACAGGATTCAATTTGAGCTCTCTTTTGTGGGACTGGATCCTACCCCATCCTCTTGAGAGCACAAATAAAGCCTTGTGGCAGCAGCAACCAGGGTGAATCCCAGCAGGAGGCTCAGAAATTGTTAAGAGCACAAATAAAGCCTTGTGGCAGCAGCAGGCAGGGGGAATCCCAGCAGGAGGCTCAGAAATTGTTATTTTCAGGAAATATTCTATTCCTGGCAGTCAGAGGCTCCCCTGTAAAAGGAAGCCCTTAACTCTCTGACCTTTCATACCAATACATGGCTCAGCCTATAATTTCCCCAAAACTCTGTTTGGCAAGATCAGGGGATATTTCTATTGCCTAGGAAGAGAATCTATTCCTCCCTCACACTTCATAGTAACACAGATTTGCTGGCACTAATACAAGTATGCATAGAGGACACTGCGGGATTGGTACTATATAGGACAGCTGTTTCATTAGGTTGTGCAACCCCCACCCCCCTTCCTAGCTGGGATCAAATTAAAAGATTTGGGACAGTCAATTGCATAGAAAGAATAAATGAAGTATGAACACTGCTGGAATCAAGGTGATATTGAGCCAATTACATTTGAATGTTCTTGACACAGCGGGATATTCATTGTATCCACTGGAGAGAGAAGAAACAGGATTTATTTCTTTTGTTTATTGGGTGATACAGATATAAACATCTTTCCCTTGCTTCATTGCCCCTAGAAGACAATAAAATACATGAGGTTCATGGGACTTTAGGTTCAGCAAGTATTAAAAGGCTGAGGCTAAAGAGTGGTCTGCAAAATGCTGTGGTTTCTTCATGTTGCTGTTGGTGTTGATTAAGCTGGTAGTGTCCGACTTTAATTGTGAATTAATTTTTTTTCCCCTCAGTTGTTTGCTAAGCCATTTCTGACCGAAAGAATACACATTTTTTTTACCTGCCTGAATTGCCCATTTCCAGTTGACATTGACCATGATTCTCTTCACTTACATTTACAAGGCTCTTTAGCACCTCTTAAAATAAAATCCCAATGCCAGTGGTTTTCATAGATTAATTCTGCATCTGATATGGCATGGCTGTGTGGATGTTGTTAACATTTCACTGACTTTGGGAGGTTTATTTCATCAAAATGTTAAAATGAGAATACTGATGCAAAAACTAGGCTGTGGTTTAAAGGTTATGTACAGCTTTCACACTTTTGCTATAATTTGTAGCTCTCTAAACTAAAGACCAAATTTCACAGCATAGTTTTTCCATGAGCAAAGCTGGGAAGAGAATATTTCTCCTATAATACAGTATGATGTTTCAAAAATGCATTATGAAGGGTGTCCATTTTCCTCTGCCATAACAGGTGTTGGTCACTACTAGAGGCAGGATTTCAGAATAGATGGGTCTCCAGTTATGATCTAGTCGAGCAGAAGAGACTATACCAGATGTACTTTGGATCTGATTTGTGGCAATGGGATTCAACTGAAAGTTGTTCCTAATCTGGTGTTCTGTCAGAGATAAAACTATTTAGAAGGGTATGACTGTCAAGAAAGAAAAGGCTGAGGACTCAGAGTCAAAGGGTTACCTGGAGAAATTACTGTCTTGATGCCTTACCTGCCTCACCTGGAGTCTCTCTGCATGCTACTGCAAAAGTAGCTATTCATTGTGAACAGTAGTGGTGCTTTGCAGGCATTAGGTGGCAGCATTGCACAGTATTGTCAATGTAGAGCAGGGAGGTCAGTAACTCGCACACAGCCCTATATGGTCTATTTACTGGCCAATAGGTGGAGATCTGTTTTCCAGCTCTTCCAAGTAAATGTGACTCCAGCCAAATAGCTTCCAAACTGCTAGAATCCCATCAGCAGCCATTAAAACCCCCCAAAGAGATTTAAGTGCATATCAGTCCTGAGCTGCTTGCACATCGTGATTAACAGTGATACACGGGCAATTGAGGACAGAAAGGCTCCTTATTTAGAAATGACTTTAGGAAGATGTTGTGAGACACCTCAAGTGACCTTGAACATTTAATTCCTGTGCCTACTGTGATAGATGTAGCTGAACTCCTTGGTGCAAGATCAACATTTACTTTCAGTGAGGGACTGAGATATTCTCACTCATGAAGAGAATAAATTATGGTATTTAGAGTGGGAGTGAATTTTAGAATGACTTGCCCTTTGTGCATTGTAACGGATTCCAGGTTTGTGGACGGGTCTTGAATGTAATCAGTTTGCAGAGTTCAGTTTTATTATTCATCATGGGTAGAAATGGGCTGAAAGCAGAAGTTGGGATCCAAACTCCATGACTTACAGGGGAACTTTGGATCAGAAATTTACAGTTCAGGTCCAGGATAACTGCAAGCTTTACTGCCTCCCTTACACCCCGGCATTCTTCTTTGTTTTCTGTTTTGAAGTCACCTTGCAGCTAACAATTGGAGACCATTTTCCAAGTAAACATAGGCAAGTTGCAGAGTTCCCTTCCCACCTAGCTTGGCTGGTTGTGTAACACACAGTTATTTTTATCATATTGGTATACAATGTCATCCCTTACCAAAAAGTTAAGTAGATAACCCCATGGTGTGTAATCCAGGTCTCAAACATGTACCCCTCACGTGTAAGAAGTTCACTCCAGTTCCATAGGGTGAGCTTCTATCGCTGACCCAGTTAGCAGGAGGCATGCTGAGTTAGCATTTCATATATGCAGCTCTTACAGACAGACTGACTGCATTATTCTAGGTGCTTTTTCAACAGGGCGGGAGTACTGAATCTTCTCCCAAATTTAGTCTTGTACAGTGGAGCCCAGCCTGACAGTGAGTAACAGTGAGTCACAAGGAATTCACAGTTTCGTGCTCTTGCAAAAGAACAATGCACAGTGTGGAGCAAGAGGACAAAGAAGGAAAGGATGTTTCAGAAGAGGGGAAGAAAAGCTGCTGAATCAAAGGAGTGGCCTCAAGAACACCCAGTAGAAATGTGCACTGCCTATTCAGGATTTTGTGCTACACACATTGCAAATTCATATAGACCCGTGACTGAACCAAGGTTAGGGGATAAATCAAATCCTGTCAGCCCTACCAGAGAAAGATAATGAAACAGCTGGTGTGCACTCACAAAAGCAGGAAAGGCTCCATTCAATCCCCAGTACACTATTGTACTCCTGGGCATTAGATACTACAGGGGTCTCAGAACAGCAAGGGGACAAGACATGACATATGTTACTCAGAATTTATTTTTTATGGGATATGGCCAAACACTTACCCTGAATTTGCATAGGGTTTTGGATTCAATAAGAGTGAGTCCTGACAAGTTGTCAGCAAAGCTTGAATACTTTGGACTCAGAGCTGATGTCAAAAGTGGAGTGAGCTACATACTGTGCATGTGTTAATGACAAAAATGTTGTTGAGGGGATGGACAGACAAGGTTCTTTGGATAAATCTGATATCTTTGATTAGACCAACTAATAAAAGATATCAGATTTACCCAGAGCACCTTGTCTGCCTGTGTCCTTAGACGAACACTGCTACAACCTACTCCCCTGAAATGCTGAGGAGATACACATTTTGCAATGAAGATCAAGAGGAGAGATGCAGCAGGAAATGTGACTGAGATGAGGGTGTAAAATGCAGCAGCTTCACTGACAGATATTCTGCGTTATGTACAATGTCATATTAGGGCTGTTTTGCTCAGTGTTGAATGTGGCCTCAAAGTATCAGTAATTATTATTTATATACTACCCAAAGTGGCACCTTGCAGAAATGCAAGATGAGCAGGTTCCTGCTCTGAGGAGGATCTGAGGGAGATCCTCATTACAAAAGGGACCACATTTGAAGCTGTACAACCCCCACACAGTGGGAGTGGTGCTGTTTATACCAACTCCGAATTTCAGGCCTTTTATTCTTCTACAGGCTTGTCCATGGGTCTCCACCTCCAGAACGCTATACCCGCTTCCGGTGTCCACTGCTCCAGGAGGGGGTACCGACAAATTGGAGACAGATCAGAAAAGGGTCGTGAGCAGTTCCCACATTGGAAAAGGTGCCTTAGAGCAAAAGCGGGAAGGAGGTCACTAAGATAATAAAGAGAGGTTTCAGAGATTTCCTCCGCCCTGGCAGGCAGGCACTGGAGGGAACTGACTTTGTTGCAGTGTGTTGCAGACAAGCCCTGCCACTAGAGCATGGGTAACCCCCCCTTCCCCACTCAGGCCCAGCCAAAAGACTGAGAGAGGCACGTGGCCCTTTAAGACCCAGGTGAGGGGTTCTGAGCACGCGCACTCGTGCTACTTCCTGCCCGCCCGCCAGGCTCGTGGGTAGACTGGGGCGCATGAGCACTCCTAGAAACCGAGGCGCGGGCGGGTGAAGAGCGCAGCTAGTCATTGGTTTTGCAGCGGCCCCCGGACCGCATGCGCTCTAACTCCTGGGTCTCCTCCTCCTCCCCTCCACCCCGCGGTTGGCGCGTGCGCACTGCCCCTCCGCCTG